TGGATCACAAAGTCAGGAGGTCAAGACCATCCTGGCGAACAAGGTGAAACCCCATCTCTACTAAAAATACAAAAATTAGCTGGGTGTGGTGGTGGGCACCTGTAATCCCAGCTACTCGGGAGGCTGAGGCAGGAGAATCGCTTGAACCCAGGAGGTGGAGATTGCAGTGAGCCATGATCGTACCATTACACTCCAGCCTGGCAACAGAGCAAGACTCTGTCAAAAAAAAAAAAAAAAAAAGGAAAAGGAAAAAGAAAATGTATGTTGGGGAGGGTCCTAGAATCTCTCTTCCTCTCTCTCTCCCTCTTCTTTTCCCTCTTAACTGCTCTTAGGAATTTTGGGGAGCACAGTTTGAAAACCACATCTGTGGACCATGGGGAGTGACAAAATATTTTAAAGCAGGAAGTGAATTACATGAGGAGAACTGTGATGAGATAAGATTGTTAAGGAGGATGGATGGAAGAATAAAAAGGCTTGAATAATGGAAAAATGGTTAGGAGGTTATCATAACCTTGGAACCATCTGAAAGAAGCCTGACTTTAAGCAAAGACAATAGGGATAGAGAGAAGTGGATGGGTATGAAAGACATTTCTAAAGGTTGCATTAACAAAACCTGGTGGACTATTTATAGTAAGGGTGGGGAGAGGGGAAGATTGCTGGGTGAGGAAGAAGGGGGGAAAGATGATTATATGGTTTCTTACTTAACATTAGAAGCAACCAACTAGTATATGGGAAATCTCTAGTCTAATTTCTAATAGCCACTTTATTTTCTTTGAGTTTTCATTAGCTCAGATAAAACCAACATGTTATCACTCATGCCTAGAACAATTGTCCTTCATCTTTCTTCATCTAATACTTGACTTTGCCAGTAAAACCCTTTTTGTTGTCATTGTTGTATTGGCTACAACTGTATTTGTCTCTCATTAGCAGGGTAGTGGATAGCAATTTTCTTTTTTTTACTAAGAGAGTCCTCAGCTTACTCACAGGATATGTTCCAAAGGCACATTTTTAAGTTAATTATTTGGACCTCAGAGTGCATTTTCCCATAGAAGTGGCATTATACATAGTGATTAGGTTCCCAGGCCAGTCCACAAAAGCCAGTTTAGCCCATATATAACTGAAAGTGTGGATTTTTGCAATGGAAATTAGTTTGAAATAATACTGTTACAATTAAAATGAAAACAATAGTTGCAAAAGAAATAGTCTGGGTTTTTGTTTCCCTCAAAGGGTAGGGCTTGATGAAAAGCAGGTTTAATCCTAGGAAGACAAAGAGAAATAGATGGGGATTTTTTTGCAAATTGGACACTGCAGCTTTTTAACTGTATTTCTAAATAATGTTTTGGAGTTTTTAAAATAATAAAAGCAACTGTGTTCATTGTAGAAAATTTGGAAAATTAAAAAATGTATTTCAAAAATTAAGTCACCAACAGTCCTACCATCCAGAGAGGACCAGTGTTCACAAATTGGTGTATTTCAGCCTTTTTCTTACTGCATGCATTTTTAAATCAGTTCACCAATAGTAATTATGGTGCATCGACATGATGAACTATTATGCAGCTCTTAAAATGATATTTATGAAGAATTTTTAAAACATCAAAAAATATTTATGATATATTGTTGAGCAAACGGCAGCCTTGCATTTGATACCTTGTTTAGGGATGAGGGAGTATAAGCAGAAGATCAACACTTAATCAACCGGGGCAGGAGTCTGCTGTTAGACCACCAATCAAAACCTCCTACCCACCCCCTAACAAACCCACCCTCTATCAGACCCACCCCCTAACGAAAACTACAGCCAGACCTTTTTGTCGAAGTTCTGAGGAGGACATAACGGTTCTTTGAAGTACTGTAGAGGTTCGTAGCACTGGCTCTTCATTACTTCAGATTTTCCTTCAAATTACAGGGCTTTCTTCTCCCTTGATGTACTATTTCACTAGCACTACTCAGGCATAACAACTATGATTAAGGTCATGTTTTTGGATTCATAAATGGAATGGAAAAAGGGCCAAGTATTTCCTTAGGTAATTATGCATAGATTGAAGAGAGATGAGAAGGACTCGGGTAGAGAAGATGTGTATGTACTTTTAAGGAAGAAAATTATGTGGAATAGAATGTATTAAGCTAAGAATGGTGAAAGTAAAGTGAGAAAATGAGACAGTATAGCATGAATACAGATCTACAGAGAGTGAAAACGAATCTGGGAAAGGAAGAAAGAGATGTGCTTGCTTAGGTCTGGGCTTGGCTACAGAGCAAGCAAAAAAGCAAGAACAGTGACTTTGGGGAAGTTGTAGCCAGCTGAAATAAAAGAGTTTTAGGAGGAGGCAGGGAATGCAATTTGTAGCAACTGATTTTCTTTTAATAAAGGAATAAAGATGTTTGAGAGGACAGGTGCTTCAAGCACTAATCATCCAAGAACAAAAACAGTTTGAACTTAATTGACTATATCTGCTATGATTGTGCACTATTCGATTTTAGCCCAATCAGTGATTTTCTAAAAGCATCCCATCTCCTTTTAGTCAAAACTGGATTTGTCACTGACTTGTATTTTGGCATGGGAGTCCTAATAGCTGCCACCTGCATTTCCTGTTCATCAGTGGAGGTATTGAAAATTACAAAGGGATGAGAGTTGGGGGAAAGGAAGATGTACATTTCGTAGGGGTGAGGGATGTATTCACATATGGGTTTTTTAGTACTAGGAGGAAAAGCCAAAAGTTTCCATGCACTGTAGAGAAGCACATGGCATTGTAGTTCTCACACATTGCTATGCAAGACAATCTCCTATGGAATTCTGTGGCTCTTACGTTTGGTGTACATATGATGCGGAGATTCTAAGTTATTATGTGTGAAGTGGGCTCCAGGTTCTCAGCCAGGGATTCTCATTGTTGGCTGTAAATTGGAATCACCTGGAGAGCTTAAAAATATTGGCGCCTAGGTTCTGTTCCCAGAGGGTTTTACTTAATTTTTCTGGGAGTGAGAACTGAGCGTGGGTATTTTGTAACTCTCCCCAAGTGATTCTAATGTGCAGACAAGTCTGGGACCCTCTAGTTTAGCCCATTGCTTAATTACTTGGGTGGATTAAACCAGTTGTTCTTAAAGTGTTGTCCTGGAACCAGCAGCTTCAGCATGAACAGGACACTAATACGAACGCAAATTCTTGGGCCCCTGCCCATATTTACTGAAACTCTTGGGGTGGCTCAGAAACCTATGTTTTAACAAACCCTCTGGATGATTCTGATGCATGCTGTAAAGTTGGCAGTCACTAGATTAAACGGTTGTTCCTGACCCTTTCTAAAGTACATCTGTAGGAGTTGCTAAAAAGAAGAGATGTCTTCAAGAGCTGATGAAAACTGGCCTGCAAAAGGACTTTTATAGAAATACCTATAATAATAATAACAGAAGCTAGAGTAGAGAAAGGAGAAAGGGGATGATAATTTGCTGCAAAACCCAGGCAAGTTCAGGAGGGAACATGTTTTCATAAGAGTTAGGGGGTTTGTTGCATGGGCTGGTAAAACCCTGGCAGTACCTGCAGGCAAACTCCTACTTATTCTTCAATACCCTTTTAAAATGTCAGCCTCTTCCGTGAAGCTTTCTCTGAGCTCTGGTGTGAACTACTTCATCCTTGTATTTACTTAGTGCTTTCTAGTTTCCTCAATTAGCTCTTGGTCCGCTGTACAGTCGCGCTCTATATATGTCTCTCTCCCTCACTAAATTGCGTGATTCTTCAAAGCAAGATCACTGTCTTATTCATCCTTAGCTCTCCAGTGTCTAATAAACTATCTGGTACATACTAAATGCTCTTGAATTGTTTGCTGAGAGGAGGCATCAGTAATGGCCAGCTTTCTTGTATCAAGAACCTTCAGCTGGGTGCAGTGGCTCGCACCTGTAATCCCAGCACTTTGGGAGACCAAGGTGGGTGGATTATTTAAGTTCAGGAGTTCAAGACCAGCCTTGCCAACATGCTGAAACCCCATCTCTACTAACATGGTGATGCATGCCTGTAATCCCAGCTACTGCAGAGGCTGAGGTGGGAGAATCACTTGAACCCAGGAGGTGGAGGTTGCAGTGAAGCGAGATCATGCCACTGCACTCCAGCCTGGGCAACAGAGCAAGACTCCGTCTCAAAAAAAAAAAAAAAAAAGATGGGTTTACCTTTGTGAATTAATCATAGTCCTGAGTTCAGCTCTCTGATTGGAAGACTAGCGACCTTGATTCTCTCAGGACATCATGACTTGACATCTCTTAGTGGTGGCCTTATACTACAAAGCTCTCAGAGAAATATACGATTATTAGCAACTTATTATTTTACCATGATAATTATCAGGTGCCAAGACTACTATTGTCAATTTTTCTCATATTTCCTCTCATTGTAGGTGTACCTTCATGGGAAATCTAATTAAAATCAATAGGGATACAGCTGGCACAGGGTAAAAGTATTTGAGTTCTTGGGCCCCACAGCTTGCCTCTCTCATCCAGGCACTGGCATCTTCTGGTTCCTTGTACTTCCCTAATTCTGTAATGTACTCTCTTCATTCTACATCTATTCACAAACATTCTTCAAGCAAGATAAGCACTTAGTAAATCACAATTACCTTTCCATTGCACTTCCCCAAAGTTATACTCAGGTCAAAATGAATGGATGTATGTGTATTCTCCAAGTCTTTAGATAAATAGATTTACAGGCAATCCTTTGGTTTAATTTTCTAGGTACTTAATCACATATTCATTATATGTGGATTTTTTTCTGGCTTAACTCTCGGAGGACAACAATATAACCTTATTTTTAAGTTTTTGGAGGTAGGACACTTTACTGTCACGTCAGTTACTGCCAATATTAATCATTTCTAAATGTTATAGAAGCTTTGAAAGATATGTGTCATTCTCTAAAGTGGAATTATTAAGACCCAGAATGTAAACCAGAAGAAACTGGATTTTTGCCTTCTGTGCCAACCCATGATTTTAATATGTATGTGCCGAATGGATTTTTCTATTTTTTTCTACAGGCATTGTATCTGATAGCCACTAATGGAACCCCAGAGCTCCAGAATCCTGAGAGACTGTCGGCTGTATTCCGTGACTTTTTAAATCGCTGTCTTGAGATGGATGTCGATAGGCGAGGATCTGCCAAGGAGCTTTTGCAGGTGAAAATAAAATAGGACAATTACAAAGAGAGGCATTATACTCAGCTTTTCCATCTCAATGTGTGACAGAGAGCTCTGTCAAGAGATGTCTAGAGTTAGGCTATTACCATTTTATTTTAGACCACAGGCACATAACTATAGGCATGCATCTAATACATGATTGATTGACATGTTGCCTTTCTTCTGAGAAGTTGGCAGTGTAATCCATAAATCTCTTTTGTTCTTCCTGGAGTCTTATTTTGCAAGGAAAAAAAAGCAATGTGACCCTCTGGTGTTGGTGTTTTGTTCTAAACTTTACTTGTGCCCCTGGATGTTGTATGCAGGTGTTCTTGGCCGGAGGTAATTCTCTACATAACTATGCAATTATTTCCATGGCATTTGCTACTCTAATGCTTTACTGGTCAAAGCCCCTTTGCTTGTGATGCCAATTGGCAGGCACCTGCTTGCCTGGGTGAGTACCATCCAGTGGTGAGTGCCTCTGTAACCATTTGTCCTTTTCATGGCTCTCAGGGATTAATATATATGATGAGAAATAATACTTACTATGTACCAAATTCTTTCAATAAATTATTTCATTTTTATAACAACTCTATAGGGTAGGCATTATTATCCCATTTTATAGATGTAAAAGTTGAGGCTCACAGCTCTTGAATGGCAGAGCTGGGATATGAGCCCTGAATTGTCTGACTTTCTACCATACATCACACACAAACCAATTTAGATAAAAATATGTCTTTATTTGATAAAGCAGTACGTGCCCAGGATGATACACATAGCTTCACTGCTGGGGATTGTTTCTCAGGGACATGTATGAAGACATTTAACATCTAAGAACAATGACTGCTATTTTTCTTTGTGATTTTGAACACATAAGCCAATTAAACAGAAGGTGCAACACTTGGTTATACAGCGCGTTAACCACAGATTATCTGTTCTAGCCTACCCCCTGAAAGAAAAACCTGTTCCTGTTGTTTCTGAATTCCCTCCAGAGACAGAGCCACGCCCAGACAAAAAAATATCCCACCCTAACTCAGATCATACCTGGAATAGACCTTTTTGGAGAAACTGAAGAGACTATATCTTTTCTTTTCTGCTACCTGCAAGCATTTCACAGGTTATCATAAGGCCCTAAAATGTCAAATCTGGAATGGCCCTTTGTTAACCCTCTAATTAATCCAGCCTCAAATTACAGATGAAAGTCAACTTTTGAGTATATCACTTTTATATCTTTTTAGCCCTCCCACCACTCCACATACACATTCTGATACACATTCCTCTTATGTTTTCTTGTAAAGATAATTGAAGATGTAAGTTATCTTCAACTGGCTATCCAGATAAATGTGACTGTCCAGCTAAATAGATCATTAAATCAATTATCTAGTTAATTCATTCCCCAACAATTCTTTTATATGAACCAGTCAGATAACTGATGCAAAACTGTATTTTGAGTCTAAATTGAATAGTTTATTGCGTCTTTTCATTTTATACATGTAAGCAACAGCCCGTATTTCTCTTTGAGTCCATGCAACTCCATTCTCTGACTCTAGCCTATTATTGCCATTTCCAAGATTAGAAAGGCGAGAGATGCATGACATTCACCCCACTGGAAGGCTGGAGAAAAGACACAGGTCTTGAATATTTGTGTGTCTTTCTGTATGACCTAAGACAATTCTCTGTCCATCAATTGATATTTATTGAGTAACTTCCATTTGTAAAGCATAAGTGCAGTATACAAACCTATTAAAAGGCATGATTCCTCCATTTAAGACGTTCACAACCGTCTTGGGTACATGAAAATATAATGCAAAGCTGTTTAGAGACTCATTCAACCCAAAGAACTGTTCAAATAGTAAATGACATGGTTGATTAGAGAAATACTTCCGTAAGCTAGGGGTGATCAGAAAATGTCTGCAAACAGGAAAGAGGTCTGCTGGGCCTTGAAGAAGTGATCAGTTTTAGATAAGTTGAAGAAAATAAGGGAAGGGATTTCAAATGGAAGGAAGTATTAGGGTTTAACCAAAGACATACGGGCAAGGTCTATAGGAACAGAACCTAGAAAGTGTGGCTGAAATAAAGAGTTCAAGTAAAGAAGCTGCAGGAGATAATCCTGTGGTGGGCCGTGAACACCAGGCTTAAGAGTTGGGGCTGTAGGCAGTGGGGAAACACTGAAGATGTCTGAGGGACAGCATGATGACAACTTTGTTTAGGAAGATTAATCTGGTAGTATGTGGTAAGAATTAGCAACAAGAAAAAAATGGAGACAGGGAGACCAAGGAGGAGTTATGGTTTGGGATTAAGATGATTAGGACTGAATTAGAAAAAGCAAGAGATGGCCAGACGTGATTGCTCATGCCTATAATCCTAACACTTTGGAAGGCTGAGGCAGGTGGATCACCTGAGGTCAGGAGTTCGAGACCAGCCTGATCAACATGGTGAAACACTGTTTCTACTAAAAATACAAAAATTAGCCAGGTGTGGTGGCATGCGTCTGTGATCCTAGCTACTCAGGAGGCTGAGGCAGGAGAATCACTTGAACCTGGGAGGCGGAGGTTGCAGTGAGCTGAGACATGCCACTGCACTCCAGCCTGGGCAACAGAGCGAGACTCCATCTCAAAAACAATAATAATAATAAGCAAGAGATAAATGTAAGAGACGTTGAGAAGAGAGTACCCGGTAGCTTATTGCATTTAGAACATAAGAGGAAGACAAAAGTGACTTCAGGCTATCAAGTCAATGGCAGCATTCAGCAAGAAGGCAAGTGATGGAAGACAGTATAATAGCTAACATTTCTTGACCCTATGTAACTTACAAGGGACTGCCACTTACCTCATTTAACCATTTTAATAAACAGAGATGAGGATTTAACCTAAGTGCTCTGACTCCAAAGCCCCTGTAGCTTACATTACACAAGATTGCCCTGCTTGTGAGACTGTAACATAACTTTTTAAATGTTGAATTTAAGGTGACGGAAGAACATCCCATAGGAAATATCCAGCAGGAAAACTAGGACCAGAGTTCAGGAAAGAGATCAGGTCACACACTATGGATTTAGGAGTCATCTCCATAAAGCTGATGGTGGGTTGAAACCATGAAAGAGAATGAGATCTGTAAGAAATTAAATTAAAAAAAAGAAGACGATGGCAGCCAAGTTCTCATGAGTAGGAGGTAGGAGGAGGAAGTGAAACCAGGGAAGAAAATGGAGCTGGAATATTCAGTGCACATGCGCATGGAAGAGACCAAATATGGTAGAATGTCACATGCTTCTAAGGCAAAAAATTAAAAAATAAAATTCAAAGAAGGAAGGGATATTCACTTTTAATAAGTACTGCAGAGGGGCCAAAAGAGAAATGGTAGAGGCACGGCTGTTGAGTTTAGCAGTTAGTAAGCCACTGGTTTCTGTATAAAGTTCTTTAGTAGTTAACTAAATACACTTTTTCCAAGCATGACAGCTTCTCTAGATAAATTTTTCAGTTTAGGAAAATCAGAGAGTCAGACTGTTGCAAACACAGTGAGATTTTATAAGATCCCTCAGAGTTTCTCACTCTGCCAGTCAGCTTCCAGAGGATTTCATGACATTGAAGTACAAAAACATCTGAAGGACAAAAGCTGGCACCGTTTTTAATTAAATGATATTTAATTGGGTATTCAAAATATATCTTAATTAAAAAGGGCTGCTTGAAAATGTAAAGTAGTGTACTTGTTGGAGGAAAGAATTCCAATAATTCCTCTTTTTCCTTCCTTTTACAGCATCCATTTTTAAAATTAGCCAAGCCTCTCTCCAGCCTGACTCCTCTGATTATCGCTGCAAAGGAAGCGATTAAAAACAGCAGCCGCTAAGACTGCAAGCCTTACACCTCACCATCTCCCTCATGAGTAAGACTGAAATAAAACTCTGCTGCAGGAAAGATGGAAGAAAAGACAGTCAAATGGGGTGGGGGTTCTTTACCTTTCAAATGAATAGAAACTTCTTATAAGCCTTTTTCCTACTCCCTCAGATTATGTAATTTATTTGTAAGCCTGAATCGCAGCCCAAACAGGGCAGCAATGTTGAAGTGACCATAAAGTGGTCACTTCCACCGTGAAGCGAAAGAGCCAGTAGTGAATCCCCTCATTTTGTGCACTCACTTTGAAGAAAAAGGTTTCTCAAAGATGCACACTCCCTCTTCATAGTGTTGTGTTTGTTTTTAAGTTAGAGAGTAGTCCCTCTTGCATTCAAACCTCCTTCAAAACTCCTTACCCAATGTGATGTTTTTCACTTGCATTGTCATTAGATGTCCAGAAAAAAAAAAAGATGTCAAAATGTTTTTCTAAAAAAAAGAAAGCAAAAAAAGCAAGGCAAAAAAACAAAAACAAAAACAAAACAAAAATAAACAAACAAACAAAAAAATACCAGAGCAAGTACTGTGTGAACATGTGGAAGTCCATGCCCTAATAGAGTTGCAATTTTTTATTCTTCTTCTGTAGTGGTGGCTTGGTTTGTGTACCTATTTTTCTGCATTTGTATTGGAAAAGGTTTCTTTTAAGACATTTTCCAAAAGTGGAGAGGAATATGTGTGTTCAGGAAGGGCTTTTTAAAAAGTGTATATCTAAATAAAGCTCAAACGGTGAAATCCTGTCACATTTTCACAATGATGCTTAAAAGATAGTTGAGTAAACCAGGTTGTTAATCTCCTTAATACCTGAAAGAGGACACACTGAAACTGTGACACCCTGCTAGGTGAGTTCTGGTTCTGAACCTAGGAAATCCTCATAGGAGAAACCACATTTAAACAAAGATGGGACTTTCTCTGAGAGCCAAAACCAGATAAATGTAGAATACTGACATCCTTGTCTGATATTAAGTAAACAATGATACCTAAATTAATCCTCTCTTGTGCTTATGAAACATATGCACTGTAAAATAGGCATACCAGGAGGAAATAGATTCATTAACCATCATTTACTTATGATACAAATTATTTATTTTGACAATTTATAATGTTTAAAAAAGTTTTTTAAAGATCTGGAGAAAGGTGATATAATAAACAGTCAACTCTGCAGGAAGTGGGAGGTCAGTGAAGGCTACATCCCAATCAATATTTGGCTCTAAGTACTTGTTCCCATTTTCCCTATGTATCACCTATTTCTGTTTCGGAATATGGTGTGTTCATACTTAGTCCTTTGGGCTTTTGAATATCAAAAGCATATTCATAAAAGTCTTGAAATTCTCTCCAGTAGAAAATAATTTTAACTTACAATAATATCCCAAGAAATGTTAGTCCAACAGAATTCCTTATATGGCTTGGGGAAAATAACAAAATTTGACTATTATTTCACCATATATCTATTTATTAAAAATTCAACAGTTGGCACTTTCTGAATCTTCTGAGAGTAGAAAAGTATCTGGAGGGTGTCTGTATAGAAAAGGATATGCCTCTCTTTTGAGCGTACTGACAATTTTGTAAATTACAGAAAGTTGTTTCTCTAAGCCTTTGAAAAACTAACAATTTGTGTTATAGAAGGCTTCTTAATTTGTAGTATACAAAGAATCTAAACAGAACCTATGTACATTCAGCAAGAAGGGGAAAGAGATCAGTTACATAGACCTCTCTCCTTCTTTGCCAAGGTACATCCATCCATCTAACCATCCATGTATCCACATCTTAAAATGAAAGCACTTTCTTTCGAGTTTCAGCAAACTATATAGTGTACGTGTTTATGTTTAGGAGATGACCCCACTGGTGTATTTCCTGTTTTCCCTATTGTTTTCTTTGACTGTAAAATTTGGGAGAGACTTGACCTCCTCCCCTTGAAAAAGACCACAGTGGGATAAAACAATAATCGTGAAAAGAAAATGAAGTGGTAATATTAATTTGAAGCATACTATGTTATACTTTGCAAAAAGGAATCTGGGCTTGTAATTTTAATGCCACACTGCTCTAATGAGAGAGAGAGGCCTTAATTTTGATTTCATTTAAAAATAAGGACCTAAAAAAATTTTCACTCATAGTGCTGGGAAATTCAATGAAATCCTGGGATGCAAATAAAAATCAGTACATTGGTACATTGGTGACTGTGTCCTGCCAGTGGAGAGAGCCCAAAACCTGGTTAGGAAGCCCTATTCATCAGTTAGCATCCCTTACATGTTGAGAAGGCCTTTTTTGTTGTTATTTTGGAGACCTTGGAGCAGTGACCCTTCAGATCACTGTAGGCAGAGAAATGGCTTCTCTCTTACGCTTTCAGTTCAGCATATTAACAACGAGGAGCCAGGTACTTCTTTCCTACCACTTTGTACCAAGATTTGATAATAATATATCCCAGGAGGGATTACTTTTATAAATGTGTATTTATGTAAATTTTCAAATGAGAACAGCTTCTAAAGCCCCTTCCCTGTATTGGAGAGTTATGTATATTTCTAATAAGTATTAGAAAGAAGCTGTTTCTCGTGCCACAATGATGCTGAAGGATTCACATTTGGTACAATCGAGCAACTTGAACTCCAGATTGTTAACAGTTTATTCTCTTTCCCTGGATTGTTTTTAGCTCATCTTGACACAGGTGAGTCTATCCAAATCTTTAATGTTGGTAGTATGCCCTGAGATAACGAGGGCACATCCTTCAATGTTGATTCCAAAATATCCTGAGATAGGAATAGGGCAGTGGGAAAGTCAGGGAAGGGTGAGAAGCACAGTAGAGATTATTTATTTAAAAAAGAAAAGAACGTTAATGTTGTTAGCAAGGATCCAGTGCGTTGTCATAATCCCATGAGGATTTTCAGATGACACAATCCCTCAGATCAGTCACCATGTTGGGTAATGACTTCGTTCTTGCTGATCTCGTGTGTGTGTCATTGTAAATATTTGTGCGTCCATGTTCCATTTTGGCCACTGGATGGCCAACCCATGTAAGAAGATTTAACTCAAGTATTTATTCTTTATGTTATTCAGATTTCTTTCAGGCTTGTGAAGTGCACCCCAATGTTTGAGTTTAACCACCTGATCCTTACATCTATCCCTCCCCGGTGAAGCACATTCCATTGCTAAAAGAAAAAGAAATATGAAATTGCTTCCTGTTGTCTGTGTAACTGTTTTGATAGTTTGAGATGTTTGTCTATAAATGATATTTCTCAGCTCAAAGATCGTGTAAATAATTATATTCCTTTGCTCAATGGGTTGTTTATTTCTAATGAGGCTGCCAGTTCTGAGAGATTCTATAATATCACTTTTAAATAACATAAACAGGGATTACAACTACATAAAAAGAAATGCATATGGGCAAAGACTGGGAACACAGATAATTGAAATCAGTTATATTAGGGTGGTGGAATTATGTGAATTTTTTTCTTTCTAAAATTTTATTTGATATTGTTATAATATTGCTTTATAATAAATAAACAGCAGAAGGGAAACTATAGACACATAGAAAAGATGCCAGAAGCAGATGCCTTCTGGCCAGAGCCCAGAGCATGCAGGGCACAGATATTTGCTAGTTACAATTATTCCATAGGCTTTATACTTGCCTGGGTGCTGAGGTTGGCACACGCTTGGGTATGGCACGTGCTTTCTTAGGAGACTATTATCTATAAGTTAAAGCTAGGGAGATGTCACTATTAGAACTCCAAACACACTCTTCTGCTTTAAAACAGGCTGTCTGCCCTGTGCTTTGGTATGGCATTCGGGTGTCTGTTTTGTGGTTGCTTTAGATTGGAGGGGTGACCATTATATTAGCCCCCTTGATAACATCTGTTGCAGATATTACCTTTCTGGAACATTTTGACAGACTCTCAGGTTGAATTTTGGAGGAATAGAAGGATAAAATCCCCAGCTCCCACCATGTTCTTGTCCAACAGGATATTACTGTATATCATTCAGGTAGGGTTCTTCTTTTAATAACCAATAGGGCAAGTCCCACTAATTTCATTAGAAGTTATGACTTGTAATTAAAAACTGACTTTGAAATCATTAAACAAATATTTAGGACTGTCTGCCTCTTGGCGTTCAGTTACAGTTCTATTAATTTAGACTTGGGATGATCTCCATGTGCTTTTTTCTGCCTATTTATAGGTTGTATACAGTAGTTGTGATTTTTAAAGAGTAAGGGAGACCATCTAACCAAAGGGGAAGAATTTCCTTCTAACTCATCAAAGAAATTTTAGGTGAGAACTTTGATAATGAGGTAGTCACCTCAGATATGTTGCTTAGTTTCACTGAAAGCAGACCCTATACCTAGAGAACTCACTGGCTTTTTACTGGTCGTTCTCAATACAAAAATACTTAGGGGAGTCTTAACCCTGCCATCCCCAGTTGAATCTCTTGGTCTTTATCTAAGCTACTTGCAGTTAATATTCAGTTAAACAAAGGTATGGCCAGTAGTGCAAGTATCTCCCAGTCTCTGAGCTCTGAACAAGAGGACTGAAATTCAGCATTTGTAAACTGACAGTTTGATGGGCCTGGGATTTGAAGTGAACTCAGCATACAGTTCTGAACATATATTTTGCATGTGGACTGGGAAGGAAATAAATGGGAACTTGGAAATAATGGAAATATTTCTCCTATGAAAGAATTTTTCATAAAAGATTTGTTTTTGATATAGTCTTTCTGTTGGTTAGCTTTTAGTTTTTTCATTCCTTTTCTGATCCACACTCCTTTAAGTGACCAAATGAATATAACCCAACATGCATTGGGAATGTGTTTAATATTAAACACTGTCTAACTGAATCTGCAAATGCAGGAACTGAGATATCACCTCCATGTGTACACCTGTGTGTACAAGTATTCTATACAACTTGTAGCATTTACTGCCACTTAATTGGGTTGAACTTGCAAGATAAACTTTTAGAAACTGCTTAGTGCCATCGGAGTCTCCTTTAGAAGCTGCCATCAGGCAAATGCTATCCCATAATACCAGCAGTAAGGCAGGCACAATGTTCAACAGATTTAGTACCCAAGAGTCATATGTAGTGGAATAAATACTAGCCTAGGAAGAAGGAGCCCTGGAGTCTTAATATGAGCTTTATTACTAAATTGCCATGTGACCTTCGACAAGTCACTTAACCTCTCCATGGCTGTTTCCTTATCTGTAAAATAAGTGTATTGGACTAGATAATCCTTAGGGTCTTTCCAAAAGTCTAACATTCTATGGCATTGTAGGTTGCCTTGAAAATTCAGCCTGCTATAGTGATGGCAAATATCACATGTTTAAGCCTGAGTCTCTTATGTTGCAGTTAGATAAAAGAAGTATGTAAGATGATTTTTAAAATTCAAGCAAATGGGCTGGGTGCGATGGCTCACACCTGTAATCCCAGCACTTTGGGAGGCCAAGGCAGGTGGATAACCTGAGGCCAGGAGTTTGAGACCAGCCTGACCAACATAGAGACACCCCATCTCTACTAAAAATACAAAATTAGCCGGGTGTGGTGGCGGGCGCCTGTTATCCCAGCTACTCAGGAGGCTGAGGTGCGAGAATCGCTTGAACCTGGGAGGTGGAGGTTGCAGTGAGCTGAGATCATGCCATTGCACTCCAGCCTGGGCAACAAGAGTGAAACTCCGTCTCAACAACAACAACAAAATAAATCAAGCAAATGAAGTTCATAATAATAGGGGATGTTGATAAAATTTGTGGCAGTCTTCCAATTCGTTTACAGTTGTTTCATTTTGTTTTTGTTCTAATGTCCATTTTCTGTTGACTGTTCCCAGTTTTCATTTTCCATACAGTCTGTATGTAAAGTCTGGTTTTCCTTAAGCTGTGACCAGTATTTGCTGCTAAAACAGAAACACACTGTCACACTTGCTAGAATATAACTGTGCTTGGGCTTCTCCTTTCCTGTGAAGTAGTGCTGGGCTTTCTAGAGTTCAATTCTCAAGTGGCACAAGATAGCAGAGCCCATGCATTTTAATGGCTGAGACTATTAAGAGTGAACCTAAACACTTACAAGTTGCAGAGAGAAATGAAAAAGTAAGTACATGCTATTAGCATTCAGAAGTGTTGACAAATTCATTTGTTGGGAACCAAAGATAGCATTTCTGATGACAACTCCCACAGTGATTGGCCAGTTGTATGATGAGTACACTGCTGGAAAGAGGGTAAACTGGGAGTTAGTTAGTGGATGGTCCCAATTCCCTGCCTACAGCAGAGTGCCAACCAGCCCTGAGTGCAAAATTCGAGTTCAATGTGTGTTCTTGTGTGTGGTGTGCTTTATGGACCCGCAAATACTATATTCATTATTGATGATAAGATCTTCACAGAATCCTGTAACTACTAATGCATTGAGTTTTTAATCTCAGTACATCAGCCAAGAGGAACCAGATCACAGGGTAGTGATGTCTACTGGGATGATACTCATAACATCTACACAAAACAAGTTGAGAAGGATCCACATTTTCATTGTTTATCAGAATTGTATCTCAATTGGCTGAGCATTACTTTTGTCAAAATGTGTTATCTGTAAACCATGTGTAGTGAAATTCTTCTGTAACTTTGGATTAAAGGTATTTATGGTCTTTTTGTTTGTTTGATTTTTAAGTAAGTTATTTCTTTTGTCGACCTGCTGATGGTATGGTTCCATCCTTCTGACCTCAGCATCCAATCTTTTTAAGGATTTTTGTTTTCAATATTGTTATTTTAAATTGTGGTTGAAGCAATAGAAAATTGAAATATGGATTGTGCATGACTGTGTCTTGAGTGTAAAAATATTGCAGTTTGAAACTTGGACCTAAAGTATTGCAAATAAAAATGACAAACATCAATGAGCTATTGCTTCTGTCACCTTCCCATCCACCCCTTGGCATTGACCATTTTACCTACTTCACAGGTTAGAGGGTATCACTGTCTCATAGGTCTGGAGTCACGGAAATGCCCAGCCTTGTAAGCAATACAGGAAATGCTCTGCAAATTCTGCTACTAAATAACTCAGACCCAGAGTCTCTCTCTATCTGATGTTTACATGGAGTAGCTCAGAGAGGCGAATGTGTATACTCAATGCAGGTCAAAAGCCTTGCAAATCACGAATGTAGATGAAGGAGAACCACCAAAAGAAATCACATGTCGTAAATACTTTGTTTTTGATCATCTTTCTGCTTGGAAAATCCTGAACATGCAAAACCATCTGCACAATGTTTAGTTTTGTCTTATATCTGATACCAAAGTCCAGAGGTCATAGGAGGCATTTCAACCAAAATTACTGAAAACCTTCATGCACTAATTTGCTCATACATTTGAAAATCATTTATCGAGCTCCTGCTACATGTCAGACGCTGTAGATATTTCTATTAAAGGTAACTTTTATTCAAAAAATCACCTGTAAATGTGACTAAATGACAGTAAAGCTTGTTAAAAGCTGCTAGACGCACCTGTTGGAGCCAGGTTTGTCAGAGGCTCTCTTGAGTCCTCAAGACTCAAGGACACCAGCAATTTGGTAAACTGGAGGTTTGTTCCACTAGTATTACTTGTACAGTGGGCATAGTACTCCTTCTAGAGAATGTGTATATAATATTGTACCTTTGTGTAAGTGCAAACACACTGGTACTATATTCCCTACAATTGCATTATGTGTGTTACCAAATATTATTTGGTTGTTTTCTAGTTCACTGTACTTACATGCAAGTTTTAATTTTCTCACTTAATCTCTCCATGATGAAAGCCAAAAAGACATTTTCTGTAAATATGAGCGGGCAAGTGAATGAGAATTCCAGCAACTAGGATTTAGCCAAGTTCTCTACTGCCCATGTGCACAGTTACTGCACTGCCTCTCCTACTAACAAGCTCCTGCTAGCAAGCTAACAAGCCTCACACCCTTCCAGCCTTTCTTGCCAGGATTTGCTCCAAGTATTTTCCTATTCCTATTAAATGAAGCAGAAAAACTATGAGTTAGCAAATTACCAATATCGTCCATCACAAAATAAAATTTGAAGCCATTTTCCTTTGTCACAATGACTTGGAGGAGCAGGGCCCAAACAATGATAAATATATTATTCCACAGCTCAGCCTTATAAGCATGATTGCTGGAACTCTAGCCTTATCCAAGTTCCTTACCTCCTACTGAAATGAGGAGGGGCTAATACCTGAAGTACCCCACAGGTTTTAGTTGTTCTCCACATCCCATGAGGTCTTTGCCCTCAGGCACTTGGGTGGCATCTGCTGACTTCCCACACACCTGTGTCAAGCACCACTATTACCACTACCCTCTGCTAATCCTGTACCAGTGTCACTGTCCGATTGCTCCTGTGCTTGCCATTCTACTTACCTGTATCTGCAATATACACAGCAGTCCCTGATGCTGACAGATCTCTGGGATGACTCAACCACTTTGCAATTTTACAGCTGATTACTTTTTATTTGTTTTCCATAGCTGATGGCAGAAACCCTTCCCATGGAATCAAATTATTTCGCTATATCTTTGGACCCATTTTGATGTTCTTTTTCAGTTTTTGGCACCTCACTGAACCAGGGAGCAAGTTTGGTCTTGGTTTTTCCCCTCTCCCTTACTGGGGCTTGTCAGGTCAACTTTTGCATATTACAGGCCTGCTGCCTACCATAGAGGTTAACCTTTGCTATAGTTATTCCTTCATGCACATTTATACATGTTCTCTCAAGCGGCCAACCTTGGGGTAAAAAGGAAATTGGCAATGTGGCCCTATTATACATGTACTTTAGTATTTTACCCAGAGAACCCTTGTCCTATTTCCTAGAGATATACATTTCTGCCAAGTAAGAAGCAAGGCTATATTACCATTGAGGGTAAACAGGTAAAAGGTACACAGGATCTCTCTTCATTCTTACAATTACATGTGATATACAATTATCTCAACAATATTTGCAATAAGAAAAGCAATGAACTGCATGGCATCTTTGTTTATGACATTTCAGAGGTCATGGTAATGAGATAGGATGGGTATCATGGCCCAGCCCACTTCTACCTCCAACTACCTATTACTTTGCTATCAAGAAGTTTCTCACAAAATTAATTCCACCTGTCACCAGTCCCGCCCACCTTAGATAGTAGGACGTCCCACTTTCTCTTCAGCCACTTGTGATTCCTCCCTGGGGATGCAGGGAATTCAAATATCATTGCTTATGAGTTCTTCCCTGTGGACATGAATTGACTGGCTTCTCAGCCTACAGTATTGCAGGAGAATAAAACTCATAATGAGAAATATCTTTTAATTTTATAATATGTAAAGCCAAATTGCTTTGCTTTACAAAATGGGAGGGCTATGCCATGTTCTAATGTTATAAATTAAGACTCTGTACATTGTATACTGAAACCCTGCAGTAAGAATAAATAAATAGCCCCACTAGGTTTTCATTCTAAACTCTCTTGAACTGACATTAGCAAATGGAGTTAAAATTCCTTTTATATTTAAATATATGTAGCTGACATAATTCGGGTATTTTAAAATTTTATAAATAAGATAGTTACTCCTCTAGAATTCAAGTAGAAAACGGGGATTATCAAACTATTTCCCATAATGAAGATCTTAATCTCTGCTGCTATTGGTCCATTACCACCTTCAGCAGTGATTTTTGTTTTGATTTTGGAAGCATTGTGCTTGGTAGACTGTTTTTCACTTTACTCAGAAGTGCATATTTTGTAACCTGCTTTCAAGATATGTCTATCATAAGGTTTGACTGTAGAAAAGACAATAATGTTCCCAGTTGGTAATTTAGAGTATTCTAACTCCTCTGGATAAACATTATCTGGATTCCATGTGGTCTCATCAATCTCACCAACACCAACACATCTAACATCAAAATGTTATAAATAATTCATTGTGTGAAGGATCATATTACCAAGTCCTGAATGATAAAGGTTTTCTCCCCCACATTGAGAGAAAATACCAAAATATTCATGCAAGAAGCAGCATTTATGAACTTTTCAAATCCATGCAGGATAACTCTCCAATGGCGAAGTTGCATGGATGCCACTTGGACTGATCTGTTAACCAATGATGTAGGCATGTGGATTAATGTCAGAATAGCCTATAATATCAGGATAAATATCTGTAATCTAGAACATTCCTTTCATCAGTGCTCATATGAGGAGCAAAGCCATCAATTTCAGGATCAATGAAACCCTTTTTCGTTAGCTCCGTGGTGAACTCCTTGATCTTAACTCATTGACTGTATAATTTTGAGCACTATGAACACCAAACTTAGCCCCTCCTTTAAATGGTATATCAACTAAAGCATTTCGTATGTTATTAAATAAATGAAAGCCTTAATATCATTTTCACTAACATCTGTACCATAAGGGGTGCAGTGTTAGTTGTGCTGGGCCAGTGTACCCTCTATGACCATCTAGGAGTCACTGTTCCTCTGATGGGAAAAGTAAGGCCCAGCACATAGTTGTAGGCTTAATGATTCATAAAATGCCATGTACCCAATTGAGCTCACCTCACTTTCTCAGATCTTCAGGTTTTCCACCAGCTTTTCTCCAACCATCATGGCATCACAGTTGAAGAAGCCACTCACCCCAACCTGTAATAAATGATTTCCAATCATATTGTCCTTCATCATTGTAATGGTGCCTTGTTACAGCTGAGGTGGTTCCCGCTGCTGCAGGAGCAAGGCCAAGTACAAATTTGGCTCCCCAGCCTCTAAGTGAGAATTAAAGGAATTCTGGAGGGGTGCTTACTTTGCTGGCAAACATATGGATGGTGGCCTGGTGACTTTTCTTTAATTTCCTATTGACTAGAGTATACACTGTGGCCCACTGTGATAGGGTCACCCATTTTTCCTCCTGCCCATAAACAGGGCAACCATTTTGTACTCCCCAGGGAGGCCCTCAATTATTCAGCGGAATTCAGCACCTCTCCATGCAGCTCCTGTCATCATACTCTAACAATGTAATAGTATTTATTCCATTCGAGGTTGTTGCAAAATGCCTTGGAAGCCAACCTGTATGTTTCCAGTAGTTTCCACATTGGTTTAGCTACATATTTTATTAACTTCCTAAATCTCTACACCTCTTCTTCATCCCTCATAGAGGAAGTCTCTGGTAAAAAAAAAAATGGGGTTTCCCACCAAAAATAAAATTAAGTGAGTAAAATTATTGTTCCCAGTAGGGTGGTAGCCCAGTACCAAAAATGCTCAATCCTGTTCCCCCACCACCTGTTTTGCTCTTGCTCCAATTTGACTCAATCACATGCTGTCAAGTCAATGGAATCGCTGAAATTATAGATCCCCTTTAGGCTAATATGGGACTAAGAGTTTAGATTTCAGAGTTAGAACTGCATTTTATGTCTCTCTAAGCATGAGTTTCCCCCATTTTAACAAGAGTATGAAAATACATCAGAGGTTGTGAAGAATAAAAAGTTAAAATATCATAATGCTTATCCTGCTATACAGTAGATACTCAATAAATGATAGCCATTATTATTATTCACCTTTTAAAAAGTCTTGGTCGATTGGAACACCTTCAGTAGTAACCATTGCCCCGAGTGAATTTTGGCCAGCAATCCAAATGCAGACAAGTGACTCTTCCACAGTAGTATATCCATTGTTAGACACCTTCTGTTCCTAAGCAAGACAAGCTGAGGCGGGCCCTGGTTGGTGCAATGTGTGGACATCATTAGTATGCACTCCAATTTTCTCCATCTATATCCAAAGGCAAGAAATCTTTGCTCACTAATACCAGTCTCTTGCTTGTGGGGATAGCATCCAGCTGTGCTTTCTGTATCGGCCAGGCCTTGTCCTATTTAAAGCAAGCCCATGCTTCACATTTGTATGTCAAGCCCTCATCCATCTT